ACATTGCCCACTGATTTCCAGCTAGCATACCGTGAGGGGGAGGTGCAGATGGCACTTGGAGCCCTGTAATTGCGGATGTTAAAGTGATTTGGGATGGATGGGGTGGTGGTGGGTAGGGATGCCAGAACAGGTCAGGTATTCTCCTGGACCAAACACTCCGCTCAGGCAGATGGTTAATCACCTGTGCCCACTCTGTCACCAAGAAAACCTCCTTACCCTTTTAAGATTCTCTCCAAGCCATAACTTTCCATGCTTTTTCTGTTTACAGCTGATGATGTTCTTTTTAGGTTTTAAAAAGTTGATTTTATGTTTTCTCCCTCATAAACTATCAAGATGGATGGACATTTTTTAAAATTGAGAAATACGGAGAAAGAAAAAAAATCACTCAAACATGATCATAACTCCTCCTTGGTTTTCTTTAAATTTATTTTTATTACTTTTTAATCAAAGAAATATACATTTAGAGTTTAAACACTCACGAAGTACAATAATTTTGCAACCAACAACAGGGAATAACTCCCTTTATCCTAGCCCTTGGTTCCAATGCCTCTGTTTTTTTTTTTCCCCATATTTCTCAATAATATGCTTCAACAACTTTTCTGTTTTTCTGCATTATTTGTTGATTATTTATTGAGTCTATCATTAAAAATAAGGATAAGTTCACTCATAGGATCCTCATATAGGGCCCACTGTACCCACCTACATACATGACACCCGCCCCCATCCTGCAGGTAGTGAGATTACCATTTTGCTTAAGTCAGAGGTCAGTATTTATAACTGTATAAATATGATTGCATAATGTGTTAGGGTGATATTTTCTGTCTTTTACTGCTTCTCTTCTTCTATCTCCCACCCCCACCTCACTGGAGTTCACTTGCCCTTCTTTTGCTTGCTTTTCTAAATACCTACCTTTAGCTTTTCTCTCCACTCTTTCTCTGACTCTTGTCTTCATCACTCTATCTTTTCCCCTGTTGACCCTTCTCCCTGAGCCCTCCCACCTGCTCAGTTGTCTTTCTGGATTTTCTCATCTTCGTTATCCTGGGAATTCCAGCCTCCCATTTCTTGTGTTGGGCCCAGTGTCTCCTAGAGCCCAGGTCTTCCTGGGTTTTTTTCCCGTTCTTCTCTTGCTTTGATTGAGCACACTACCTATGAACTCCCTAAGGAAGAGTGAAAGAAAGCTACATTTTTGTGGGTCTTTTGGGTCCTGGCTGAATCTTGAAGTCAGCAGCCCAGAAGCACCTCTGTGCCTTCATCAGTACGTCCCAATCCCCTGCACTTTCCAGCTGTAGACTGTTCCTTTCTGTCTCCCTAACTTATGGTGAACCCATCCCCCAGGACAACACTTCACTGTGTCCTGGTCTGGCATGAGGCACCTGCCTATGCCCAGCAAATGCCAATCAACACTTGTCTTAATAATACCTTAGCCTCAACACTTAAGGTTTAAGTTGCATTAATCACCTAATAAAGAAACCTTCACAAGTGCTAATTACTAACTTAGTCCTCATGCTAGACTCATTTAAAAAGGTGGCATCTTAGAAGCTATACGGCTTATAATCATTCAACAAGCATTTATTGCCTACCATATACAAGACACCATGCAAGGGCTTTCACATGGGTTATCTGATTTAATCTTCCCAATAGTCCTGTGAAGGGGGCACTATGGTCATTTGTAAATGAGGAATTAGTTTTAGAGAGATAAAGATAATCTCTCAACACACTTACGATGCAGCTACTGTCGGCCAGATGACGAGAATATACACAAGGTGGATCCATGTGTCCATGGCCGCTTGGAGCTGCCAGTCCCACCCATGGGGTCAGACATCAAACAAATAATTTCACAGACAATTTCTTGAATATATTTGGGACAAGTGCCATGAAAAATAAGTGCAAGATTTTATGGGAATGTGTACAGGAAGCAACTTGTTCTAGTCTGGGGAGTTAGAGATGGTTTTCTGGAGGCAGGGCATGGAGGCTATAAAATAAGGAAGACTTATCCAGATGAAATGAGGTCTAAGAAGGGAGAGAAGGGAGGAAGAACGTAAGCAAAGGCCCAGAGGCAGGTAGGCGCTGTTCATAAGTGAGGAACTCAAAGGCCAGAGTAGCCTGAACAAAGTAAGAATGTGGTCCTACAGAGAGAGACCAGTCAGGGAGCAGGCTTATGAGGTTCCTGCACTGGGTTAAAGAATACACGTGTATCTTGCTGGACTTGAAGGAGGTGCTGAAAAGTTTGGCATAATGGAGAGAAATGGTGGGCTTTATTTGGTAAGCACTCTTCCTTACAATTGTGCAGAGGACATTGGAGGGAATGAAAGAGACCTGGGAAGACCCCAGAGAAGGCTGTTCCAGTGTCACTGTTGGAAGTGATGACTGCTCAAGAGAGGTACCTGTGGAGGTGGCGGGGGTAGAGGGAGTGGAGGGATTCAGGAGGTACACAGGCAAGAGGCTGTTCAACATCATACAGGCCAGAGCCAGGATCTGAGCCTCGCTCTTGTGGTGACAAGGCCATTGTTCTTTCTGGGACATGAAATCAGCTTCTTTCTCTGAGCCAGACTGACAGGGCACCAGCACAATCTTTGTATCTCCAGGCAGTGCTTAAGGATGCTAAGTTATGCTCTAATTTAGCCAGGAAGAACCTGAGTCCTTCCTGTGCCACGAAAAGGCCTCTGTCTAATGCTGTGCAATGTGTCAATCACAGGGATATGGGAACCAAACACGGTCAGCTCCCTGTAATAGCACACAGCCTCAAAAAGACAATGGGAATGTCAACAGGATTAAAGAGTGAGTTATGGAAGTTGTAGAATCTTATGCAGTTCTTGGGGCCATAATTTGGGGTGCTGTCATTTTTGACTAACTATGGAATAGGCAGCAGTATCTTTTTGTTTTTTAAATATTTTTTAAGTGATAGATGGACACAATACCTTTATTTTGTTTATTTTCATGTGATGCTGAGGATGGAACCCAGGGCCTGATACTTGCGAGGCAAGTGCGCTACCACTGAGCCATAACCCCAGCCCGGCAGCAGTATCTTTAATGGTCCCGAAACTCAGAACAAGGGCAACACTTTTGAAATTGTCTTTCTTTTCTAA